AACGATAGGCAATTAATCTCTTCAGCATAAATATTCTATAACCCTAATTCCAGGATCTTGTACCTCTTTACATTAAAAATAATAAAAGATAGTATAGCATATAATTTTTCTGCCTCATGTATTTAGAAGAGCTGTATTACTCATGGCATTATATTTAGCATAGGAGGAGCAGGAAGAGGAAAGGTGGGAGTTGCTTGCAAAACTGTAAAAACAAAGCTGGCAATATTACTATAGAGCTACAAACTGCGACAGTTCCAGGGACCAATCTCTTGGTAGCTACCCCAACAAGAGACAACTGTTTGCTCCCTATGGGAAAATCTGAACCTTCCCAGGTAGTATAAGCTCTTATTTCTACCACAAAGGACAGTGAGATACTTTGAATCAGGGTATTTGATCCTTAGACACCCTTGTTTCTAGTCTTGGAATGTCCTCCATGGAATATCTTAAAATTATAACCTTTTTAGACGGAAGAGCTCAATTAGGTAGTTTTTACTAAAAGAGGAAGCTGTAACTTCCTTCTGCTTCTGGGGTTTATCTAGCTGGATTCATGATAACTGAGGCAACCTTCCTTTAGTGGGTAGGGGTTTAAAATGCGCTGATAAAATATAGAAACTGTCTAAAATTATTTTGTTATATATGTAGGTAACACACAATGGCAGGTGATAAAGGTTTTATTGACAAGAAGTGTCAATGGTCTGTTTACCTGACATTGACAAAAATGTTACACTGTTATATTACATATTCACCTACATTTTATATACGAATACATGTGCACTTTAAACTTCAAACTCTGATGTGCTGGCATCAGATAACTTATAGTTAACTGTATCTGTTTCTCCCAAGCAACTTTCTTCTTGCGCTCTCAAAGTTGGAGCAAATGCATGGAACAGATCACATTTTAACAATGGACATGGACTGGATGTTGACAGACAGACAGAGACAGACAGAGAAAGAAGAACTCCCTGCATAAAGCCAATATCTAATATTTTAGGCTTGGGAAAAATATGAAGAAAGATAAAAGTATTTTCTCACCACAAAGAGATATGCCTGCATCTCTAAGATTCTTTTTCCCCTACCTCTGGTACAAGAATTTTTTTAAGGGTTTAAAACAAACTATGGCTGTATAGAACACTAAAAAAACCTGAAGTTCTACTAATACAAGTATGTGTAAAGCAAGCTATAAAAAATATTTCTGGATCATGTACCTGGAAATAAATGAGACCAAAGAACCCATTTTGCATTTGACTACACCTGTGAAACACACAGTCCAAAAAGCCCAATTCATTTGAGAAATGCTATAGCTGAAGGCGGAATTGCTAGGTACTTGGAAAAGTAAATCATGCACTTTTTCAAGTGAACCTTGTGGTTTAGTGAGTCATGAAATGTGGTTTAGTGAGCCTGCCTGCAATGATCCATTATACAATTCAGCAGAGTACACTATAAAAAGTGAAGAAATGGAAAGTGGGCCTGTGTCATTATGAAGATTAAGAGATAAACACCATTAAACTGGCACCTAAAAGCTGGGCCTCAAAACTATATCAAGATAGTGTCAAGGGTTCTCATGTACTGAATGGAGAAGTCCACAGGGCAGGCTGAAAATTCAGGGTGGGGAGGGGGGGAAGCCAGCCTGAGGAGTATATACTGGGAACAGATGAAGGGGAAAAAGTGAGTTTAAAGTTACAAACCCAGTCTGATCACCCAATTGTAAAATCTCTATTTGCTGAGATTTCCCCACTTACTCATGCTTAATTTGCTTCACAAACATCAGTGTGCATTAAAAAGAAGTTGAAAAGCGACTTGTTACCTAAAACATGTTTTCTCTTAGTGGATGATTTGATCATGCTGTTAAAACAAATTTTGTATTTATTTCAGGTCTTCCTGTTTAGAAGGGATGAGGAAGGAAAATAAATGAATGAAGTGTGTTTATAGTTTCAGGACCCAAATAGCATCCATATTTACCAATAACAGGCACCACTGCCCTTCGGACTAGTAAGCACAAGATATTTGGATGCTTTCACTAAGTGCGATACTGACTATAAGCTGCTGGTTACAGTCCAATGCAAAACCTCTGCATCTGTATTTTAAAACTCCCAGGAAGCTTGTTTAGAAAGTTGTGTTGCTCTCAGAAACACACTATCTGCATTCCTCCCCCCCAACTAATCCTCTTCAAGACAACATAAACAACAGCCAAAGCAAAATTACTGCATTTAACCGAATACAAGATGACTTTGAATTTAACCAGATCCAATAACCAGATTCTATACGTGGAAAATTATAACAAATGTATAACTTACCATATAGAGAATCTAACTATTGGAAAGTAGTCTTAAATTCATCCCTCTGCAGCAGAGGGGAAGGGAGGGAGGTGGCCAGACCTCTACCACTATGCACCTCTGTCCTGCCCCCTGTCACTCATCCACCTCCCCTCAACTTGCCCCCCCCACCAGTGCCTGTACCTATCTGTCAGTGCTCCCCCATCATATCCAATGAGGCAGTTCTGACTTGGAGCAGGCAGTAGTGGCAACTCTGGCCCCAGCCATCTCAGCTTGGTAGTAGCGGCAGCAGCACCTCTGGGCTGGGCTGGGTCCAGAGCTTCTCCCTGGCCTTACGCAGTTTTTCCCCCACATACCCCACTTACCTCCCTGCACCAGGTGGTCTCCCATTTCTTCCCCCACCCCTTCTGCACAGTCCAGTCTCCTGTGGACCACATTAGGGAGGCACTGTATGTAGTCTGCTCTGCCAAGTAAGGTAAAATTAGCCTTGGCTGTGTTTCACATTAATGGCTACATGGCCTGTAGCACCTAAGCTAGCTTGGGCAGGTCTCTACAGCTCTGCTTCATACAGGATAGACTGGCTCTAGGGCAGAGCTTTCCAAACTGTGTGCCGCGACACATTAGTGTGTCGGCAGCAGTGTGTAGGTGTGTCGCGTGAAATGCAGAAAATTTTGTGGAAGGGCACCACGGAGCTCCCTTACTCACGTCTGCTTCCCTTGGCCCCTCCCCCGGAACTGAATTACTGTGTCGCGAAATGATGCATGTCTAAAAAGTGTGTCACCAACATGAAAAGTTTGGAAAGCTCTGCTCTAGGGTATCAGTCATAAAAGGCACCACAATATATGGCTGAAGATGGAAACTGCTGTACAGCAAGATTGTTACCTAGTAATAACAATAAGACAATATTCACATACAGACAGTAGCAAACAAATTTAACCTATCTACAAATATCAGCAGGTTACCACACAGATAAGAAAAGAAAAGAGGGTAATTGATGACCATCCTGCAGATCTCAAAGATTCTTGGAGATCTGGCACAACGGAGATGCAAGACACATCAGGTCTTGCCATCAGGCTTTAAAAATTGTATTTATTTGATTCTCTGGCTACACATGCCCTTAGCCTACATGCAATTCTCACAATCTTTTAAACATAAATGGGGTCCTGAAGAGCCGAGTAGTCTTGTTATATTTGTGGACAAATTACATTTTAAAAAGGGGAGTGGTTTCATTCTGATGAAGGATAAGTGAACTGAAGGGAAAGGACAACTGGAGGGCATCTTTTAAGTTAGTTCCATGACACGTTTTTATTGCTGTGGCAATGCAGTAAAAAGTGGCTGCTGTTATTATTCCCTTATCTGATTACATAGACAGCCAAGTTCCAGATGAAAACACTGGTATAACTATTTTTGGGTAAGAAGTCTTTTCCGTGGTAACTCAATTTCTGATACAGCTAATTTGCATCTATTCCAATAATAGATTCGCTCCAAAATCTTCCAAGCTCTGAATTTTTATAAAGTGCTCATAAAAAGTAATCTGCCTAACTTTTCTTTTAATTAATTAAACCCAAACTATAGGAAAAAGATGGAATAAAGAAGGTGAAAAGGAAAGCAAAGACACAATGCATTAATAATCTCGTTAATAAAATTGTATGAAAAGAAGGCCATGTCACACCTTGTAGCAAAGGCTTCCTGGAGGAGTCCAACACCTAAATAAAATTCAATCCATTACTAGAGTTATACTTAATAAAGACACATTAACATCACAAGGCTTATGTAGCACTAGTAGCATACAGGGGGAAAAAGGAAATTTATCTGACATACAAGTTCTCCAGAATAGCTCAGACTACCTTTTTGGCCAGAAATCCTCAGACAGACCTCTGCTAAGGGGGATTTGTTCTGTTGGGAAAGCACTAAAGGCCTTAAGTTACTCCTGAAAAGACTGCAAGGATGGATCCTTCCCAGTGGAAGGGATATCCAGAGGTCTTTTCCTTACACTGTGAGACCATAACAAGCAAAGTACATTGGCATCTTCCAGACTCCAGCAGTGTAGGCCAAGGATACCAGAGATGGCTGTAAGCTCACCCTGCATCTTCACCCCTCTTAATCATATGCAGCTGAACATCTGACAGCAAATTTAAAAAAATGAAAAGTTACATAAAGATTGTTCATGCAAAATGCAGCACTCAAATATCAGTAGATTTAACCAGGCAATAAAGATCAGAGATACTATTTTCTCTGAAAATATACTGAAAATTCTTCTGGAAAGTCAAGGAAACACTTTTAGCTAAATGCAGAATTTAAGAAAACTCCCCAGTAAGTTCACCCAGGATATTTAAACCACACACAAATCTCCAGATTATAAATCAGTTTCTAATTTTGTGCCAAAATTTTAAATCATCTGACCCAACAACAGAGTGAAGCTGAGCAGTTTTAATCCTTCAAAAAGAAACCAGCTGGAGAAAAAAAGCACATGAAGTAACTACTATGGCAACATAATACTTCCAAGTATGAATTCTGTGCAGTGTAAGAAGGCTTTTGTTACCTAAAACCTGGACTGATTTATTTAGATCATTTCTTCTAACAACTTAACTGAGAAAAATACAGAAGGAACATTACTTGGTTTCACTTACTACATCCTGAGGAATTACGCAATTATGCGCCTGCGCAATTTTGTGCATAAAAGGCATGACTCTGCATAATTTAACCACAGCGGGCTCTGTGCCTCCACCTCCATGACTTGGAGGCACAGAACTGTAGGACTGGACAGCTGGGTAAGTGGGGAGGGGAGCTTCTGCCTGAAGGGGGGGGAGGGTTGGGCATGGAGTCTGTGGGTGGGCATGGAGGTGGCTGTGGGTAGGTTCAGGGTTTGTGGTTGAGTATAGGCCATGCACCATGGGGCTGGATGGGCTCCGTGCCTCCACATGGGACTTCTAGCACTCCAGCAGGAAGCTACATGTGGAGGCAAGCAGGAACCCACCCAGCCCGATAGCATGCGACTCCATGCTCCCATGCGCAGCTTCCTACCGGAGTACTGGAAGCCCCAAGTAGAGGCATGGAACCTGCCCGGTTTGATGGCTTGTGGCTCCCAGTACACATGCTATCAGGCCAGGCCAGTTGGCTCTGTGCCTCCATGTGGATCTTCCAGCACCCTGGTGGGAAGCCACATATGGAGGCATGAAGCCGGCTAGGCCTCATGGTGCGCAGCTCCCACCTGCAGTGCCACGAGCCCTATGTGCTGGCACAAAGCCAGCCCAGTCTGGTACAAAGGCACATGCAAGCAGTGCCAGGCTGACTCCATGCCAGTAAGTGCAGGCCTTGGGACACAGACAGAGGCACATGCTGCTGGGGGCTCTGCCTGCCATGGCCATGAGCACCCTGAGGGCCTGCTGCTGCTAAGCTGCCAGCAGCAGGAGCTGTGCACCACATTGGGTGGGGCGAGGGAATGTGTGGTGGGGGCCCACACCCACCTACAAACCCCACACCCACACCCCTTCACAACCCACCCCCTACAAACAACACACCCACATGCCTTCACAAATTCCCCTGCCCTCCTCACATGCACTCCATACCCACCCACCCACCAACCAACCAAAGTATCTGCATATATTTCTGAAAAAGTGTTATATAGTGTTATAGTTAGTTTAATTTTTGCAAATAAAATAGGGTTGCCAATTAACTACTGTTAACAAAGTGCGATTAACGCAAGAACCAATTAACACGTTAATGTTTTAACATGTTAAATTGCATACATAGTCACCGCCCCAGCGGGACAGCAGTGGCAGTGCAGGGCAGCCGGGGCACAACCAAGACGAAGTGCACCAATGTAGCAGTGCCATATTGGGATGCTGTGTGCAGGTATGCAGCTGCAGCATTCATACATCCAGGAATGCAGCCTGGCAGCGTGTAGAGTACCACCCAGCGGGTAAGTCTATGGAGGGGGAGGGAAAGGGAATGGGCAGAGGGCAGACTGAGGCCCCCACGATGAGGGAGGGAGTAGGGCAGGGGTGAATGGGACTGTGGGGTAGATCATGGGACAGAGCCATGGGTGGCTCATCCAGGGGTTTGGGGGTGGGGGGGGGAGCTCCCTGCCACTGCATACACCCCCCAGGGAGGCATGAAGGGGGCATGTGCCCCCCAGATTTTTGTGTGGGGTGAAGGTGGGCTGGGGTTCTGTGCCCTGCTGCCTTTGCCCCAAGAGCTGCACTATGCCATATTGTGCCTCCCACCGGACAGGCAGGGCCACAGTACAGCATGTAGCTCCCAGAGGAAAGGCAGGGCAAAGAGCTGGGCTGCATTCCTATAGGGTTACCATATTTCCAGTTTGAAAAAAAACAGGACACTTGTGGAGACGGGGTAATATTAATGCGAGGGGGCAGTAATATGTTCATGCCCTACCCCTGCCCCTCACTCCCAAGACACAGCACGCCCCCAGCCCTGCTGCTACCCTCACTCCTAACCCACACAGTACCCGCATCCTGCCAGGGTGTGCAGGGGTTCCCCCCCTTCCTGGGCTCCAGAACCCCTTGCAGGGACCCCTCCTCCCTGGGCTCTAAACTCCAAACACACACACACACACACACACACACACACACACACGCAGCCCCCCATACCTTCACAAATTCCCCCCCACACCCTCCCTAAACCATACAAAGTACCTGCATAATTTTGAGTGTTTCTGCACATAATTTGGGGTTTAACTGTGCAGCTAAAATTGCGATTAACTGTGACTAATTTTTTTAATCGTGCAACTAATCGCAATTAAATTATTTTAATCATTTGAGAGCCCTAAAAAAATAAAAGTAATTAATTTTGCATAATTTTGAATTTTTCTGTGCATAATTCCCCGGGGTGTAACTTATAAAAAAAGCCCAACCTAACCATAGCCTGACCAGTTGGGTCTGTGCAGGGACCTCTATGATGCCTGTATCAGGCAGACGCATCTTGACCCATGCGCATACCATACAGTCAGCAACACAGCTCCTTTACAACTACTAATTTAACTGATGAAGTGAAAAAATAGTAAAAATTCATCCTCATGCCTCTAATGGCCACTTTCATCTGCTGGATCTATCAAAGGAGAAAAACTCCTCACCTTCACCTGTCTACAACATGGACCTTTTACATCTACCCCAACATAGGACTCATGTACACATGAAAATTATTCCAGAAGAGGTAAAGTATGCTCAGTAGCATAATTGAGGGGGCGTAACTGGGGCAGCAGTCCGTAGTGTGGCCTTTGGGAGAAAAGAGGGTATGAAAATAGCTGCTAATGGCAGCTCATGCTGCCCCGCATGGAGCTGCTGCCTGGAGCACAGAACTGCCCTGTTGTACCCTTGGGTGTAACTTAAAAAAGATGAATAGCCTTTCTGGAAGAAGTCTGTGTGTAGAGAAACCCTCCAATGAAACTAGTGCATAGCTCTTAGCTGTGCTGCGCATTTACAGTGTAGAGATGACAGAACAGGAAGTATGTAGCCCTCCACAACTGCAAGACCAGTCTATATTAGCACAAGAAAAACAGAATGGAAACAGCTAACACAGCAAGAAGTGTTCAGTAAGTTATGGCAACTTCTTTAATTAGTTGTATTTGCAAATAAAGGACCACTCCCAGCTATGCTGCAAGCTATATTTGGGACAACTTAGGGGACAGAAGATATAAAAAGGGCTTTAAGACACCTGTAAGATTTCCCCAGCACTGTGGAACAGTCTTAGAGCTATGGCATACATTAGAGCAGGGGCGAGCAATTATTTCGGGTGGAGGACTGCTTACCAAGTTTTGTTCGAGGACCCACCCCCTAGTTGCCATCTTGTGACTAGAAGTCCTGCCCCGTAACCTTCGCCACCAGAAGTCCCTCCCTCCCTTGCCCCTGGAAGTACTCCTTTCAGTAAGGGGGTTTGCCATCTCAGAACCAGAAAAATACCAAATGATATCCTAAAAAGCGAACATCTAAAACATTCATTAATTTGATTTCAAAAAATATTTTTGTCCTGGTTTACATGCATTTGTGTAGTTTACATAGAGGTGATCGGACAATAGCTTAAAATGAAGTCTTACTCTTGCACATTCTGGGGGGTGGGTATAGGTTTGTTGTGGGCTGTGGGTGGGTATGGGGTTTATGTGGGGGCTGTGTATGTGAGGAGGATGGTTGGGACATGTGAGGGGGTATGGGGTCTGCGTGTATGGCAGTACGAAGCGGGGTGTGGGTGCATGTGTATCGTGGGGGGTGTGGGGGACTCACCCTATGAGTACACACACACTCTCCCTCCCTCCCTCCCTCCCTCCATGCACACACATGCACCCAGGGTACCAGTGCGGCTCTGTGCCCCCCGGTCCAGCGATGCAGCTGGGAGTCACGTGGTACTGGAGCAGTGCAGGAAGGCAGGTATATGGCTGGGGTGGGGTGGGGCTGGGCTGCTGCCTCCTGCTGATGGCTCCCTCTGCTTCCTACTGCCCCTGGCTCCTACCATCTTTGACAGGCAGCCAGGAGCAGATAAATATTTTCTATATTTTTTAGGGGCCAGGTGGGCCCAATAGAATGGCCCGGCAGGCCAAATTCAGCCCACAGGCCGTATTTTGCCCACCCCTGCATTAGAGTAAGCTCCTACTTTTGCCAACAGCTTCCAAGGGTTTGCTGGAGAAGAGAGTTGTTTTGACTAGAACCTTGACAACACGGCAGGGCAGGGTCTCAGACTCAATGATCTGATGAGGTCCTTTCCAACCCTAGCATCTATGCCTTTGAGCTGGTATCCCAGGATCACCTCTTGGCAAAACTGGCTAACTGCGGCCAAGGCCTCACCATGATCTGCGGACTGGGGGATTGGCTCCATGGTAGGACCCAGAGAGTGGTGGTTGACAGAAGTCAATCGTCGTGGTGCACTGTGACCAGTGGGGTCCCTCAAGGCTCTGTCCTAGGGCCTATACTATTTAACGTCTTCATTAACGATGTAGACATTGGTGTCAGAAGTGGACTGGCCAAGTTCGCCGATGACACCAAATTCTGAGATAAAGCATCCACACCCGAGGACAGAAGGGTGATCCAGACAGACCTTGACAGGCTCAGGAATTGGGCAGATGAGAACCTGATGGTGTTTAACACTGAAAAATGTAAGGTTCTCCACTTCGGGAGGAAAAACCTGCAGTATGCTTATAGGCTCGGCAGTGCTACGCTGGTTAGCACTACAGACGAAAGGGATTTGGGGGTCATGATTGACCACAAGATGAACATAAGCCTTCAATGTGATGCTGCGGCTAGTAAAGTGAGCAAAACACTGGCCTGCATCCAGCTGCTCAGGTAAATCCCAGGACATCGTACTTGGCCTGGGTGAGGCCGCAGCTGGGGTACTGCGTCCAGTTTTGCACTCCACAAACCAAAAAGGAGATGGAGAAGCTTGAGAGGGTGCAGAGGAGAGCCACGCGCATGATCAGAGGTCAGGAAAACAGACCTTATGATGAGAGGCTGAGAGGCATGGGACTCTTCATCCTGGAAAAGCGCAGGCTCAGGGGTGATCTGGTGGCCACCTAGAAGTTTATCAGGGGTGCTCATCAGGATCTGGGCAAAAGTCTGTTCATCAGACTGCCCCAAGGGATGACAAGGTTGAACGGTCACAAACTCCTCCATGACCGTTTCAGGATGGACATAAGGAAGAACTTCTTTACTGTCTGAGCCCCCAAGGTTTGGAATAGACAGCTGCCAGAGGTGGTTCAAGCGCCTACTTTGAATGCCTTCAAGAGACATTTGGATATTTATCTTGCTGGGATCCTATGATCCCTGCTGACTTCCTGCCCCTGGGGCAGGGGGCTGGACTCGATGATCTTCCAAGGTCCCTTCCAGCCCTAGCATCTATGAATCTATGAACCATGAGATACCAATACAGCGGGCATAAGAAACTAGTTTAAGTTACTGGTCAAACCTGTCACAGTATTAATGTCCAAGTTTGTATTACAGCCCTACAAAAATAAATGCTGCTCACTGGAAGACAGTTTTCCAGTGGAAGCTGAGTTTCAAATTCAGTGTCCTAGAAGATATTCACTTTTCAGCATACAGAAGGTTTGGTAATATTTTTCAGAGGGACACAATAGAAACGCTATTGTTTTGACTGCCAGGTTAGCAGTCTGACCTAATAACACTTAATCTATCGAATTCTCATTCTATCAAATTCATTTACAGATTAAAAAAAAGTTTGAAGTATACTACTATGGCTAGTGCAAACTGGCTTGATACGGGTACATTACCACATATTTAAGGAAGAACATACTCAAAGCTAAAAATACAATGGCTCTCTCATAACAACAATTTACCTACCTGGTAGCTGCTACCCTTCCAAAACTTCTTCATCTCCTTACGTCTCCAGGCAACAACTGAGCTGGTAATAAGTGTACATGGTACCAAATAGAGAAGGGCTGGTTGTCCCATCTTCATCAGTGCCAGAACAACAAAAGTCAGCACCATTCCAACAGCATAGGCTATCAGAAATAAAATCAGGAGAGCTAGTGAATGCTGTATATCATTACAATCAATCAATCAAGTTACCTGTAATTGATACTAGCAATATTACAGTTGCTATACTATTTTTCTATTTGATTGTGTCAGTATACAAAACATCTTAATTTCAGTGCACTTGAATTTGAAATATTCAACAGACCTGCTTACTAGAACACTTCAGCTAGGAACAAGTACATTCAAACTAGAGATCAGAATTGTGATAGCATTCACTGACAACAATGACATATTTATACCACAAAAGAAGCTGGCAGGAAAATACACATTGCTAAAAATACTGTATTAAAAGTTATATACCTATAGTACAGGAAACATAATAAACAGAAGACGAAGAACGTGTCTGCACATCAAATCTTCGACAATAAGCAACCAGAAGCCCTAAAAAGAGAATACCCACACATTATTATTTATCAAAAATACAGTCAAGTCACCATAACACAAATTTACATTCACATTATAGCAACAGCCTGATGGAAGACAACTAACCATGAAATTACAAGTTACGGAGTAATGTGAACAACTAGAAACAGTTTTTAGGCAATCACAGAATAAGCCTCTAGTCAATAAAATGTATACACACTAATATGGTTCACAATGAATTATCTTGTTTAAAAAAACATCTTGTAGGTCAGATGTGATGCATATCTGTTACCACTGTACAATACATTGCTTATATTCAGAGCCTTTCATCATGTGATCTCCTCGCACCTTGCTTACATTAGTTGATTTTCCCCTTAGTACAAGCTCTGAGGTAGGGAAGTATTAGCTGTCTCATTTCAGAGAGAAAACCAGAAAGGGGGGTTGTGATTTGCTCAAGGTGCCACAAGGTAGCCTACAGTAAAACTCAGTTCTTCTGAAGATCAGAAGTATTATCTTACTATTAAGAATCAAATATATTTCCCCTGGCAAACATTAAGGAATATTTTAAGCAGTACATATTGCTTTAAAAAAAGGGGGAAAAAAAGACTTTTGTACCATGTACTATATCATTAGAAACAAAGCAATAAATCTGCCATCTTTTTTTTTAATGTTAGTAAGTGTAAAACCTTCTAGTCTTGATTGCAAATACATATGACTTTAGCCAAAAGGCTGAGAAGTAATTACTATCCTATATCAGAATAAACTATATATCTTTGTAATCAAGACAAGGGGGGGGTCTTACACTTATTGTTGTTTAAACACAGACACACACATAAATATACACACTGTGATGCTTCTATTCATGAATGGTAATTCATTCCACAAAGGATTTTTTTCCCTTTATGAAGATTCAAATAATGGCCAGTTGTACATATGCATATAAAACCCCCAAACAGCTTCCACAAAGTATTTACATAGATCAAATGCAAAAATGTATTACTTGGGTCTTAAATATTTTCAAAGCAGATTTGACATAAGGAAACAAATTTCTTTATAGTTACTAAAAATAATTGCTCACCTGGCACAATAATATCTCCAAACCCCAGTAATGAAAATGGCATTCCACACAATGTCAGAGCAGAGAATTGAAGTCTAGGAACCCTAATAACCACTGGTAACTGTAAAACAGTATTTTAAAATTCCACATAAATCTAATCTAAAGCATTTAAAAATTATAAAAAAGATTAACATAATATTAGAATTATTTACTCATCTATTTTATGCAGAACTTCAAATAAAGAAGGACCTGAATTAAGAAAACAGTAACCAACACACTGAGTGCTTAAAATTTGATTTTAAGACTTACAGAAACAAATGGATTTGTAATTTGTTTAACCAGATGATTATGCAAGGAAAAAACAAACAAACCATAACAAAAACATCTGCCCACACAGATGAGGAATAACATATTTGCATTGTTATCCTGACTCTAATCTATTGACCAACAATGATATCCAGGCTTGGAAGAGATTTTGACAGTCAGGTTTTCCCCAAAAGAATAGCTTTTCAGAGGGAGTGATTTAAAAGTCCAGTGAACATATCTGAAATACAATCCTTACTTTCTCATGGGGAGCTGAGCGTTCAGTAGGGACTTCCACCAAGTTTCCATCATTCTAGGATCAAACCCAAGTCAACAGGTATTTAATACTTTAAAGAAAGGAGCAAAAGCTGGGTATATTTTGTGAGAAAGTTAAAGCCTAAAAGCACACTATTCACTAATTTAATTAACTTTGGAAAGTCAGTACATACTACTCATATGCAATTACATTATGAAAATAACTATTTGTACCTTTTCGCTGTTTCCAAAAGGACCAGCAGCAACTTCGACCATTATACTTGCCCCGTTCTGAAAATTAAGTTTATTTTTCATATTGGATATAAGGGATATAGCACAACATTCATGTCATATATACAGAAGCTGCTTGTGCCTTAGCAGACTGCAATCCTCTTACAATGTACAGATATATACAGGATTTTCTTTACTATATATTAAAAGGCATGTCCATTCATAATACAAGTGGAAAAGCTCCATAAATCACCACAATCTAGACTCATAAAGAGGGATTTGAAAGCACTCATGGGGACACTATCAAAAGCAAGCCTAATGGCCAACTACAGCAATTAACACATTGAATTTGAATACAAGGTAGGAGGTAGTGCACACATATATAGAAGGGTGTTTGTGCCCAAAAGCTTGCAAAGAACAATTTTTCTAACTATTTAGTTGGTCTAATAAGAGATATCACGTTTACCCAAAGAACTTTGTCAGCACACAGACAAAGCACTTACATTCTTATTCAATTTTAGGGTAAGGGAGATTAAAACATTATCCTAATACTAACTTTTATGCACCATTTATTATGGGTTCTCACTCGAGTCAATAGGGAATACCAGATAAGCTTGCTCAAACATAGGAGTTGATGTGGAACTACCCTCTAAATAGACAATGCCTAAGTGGATACACTCTTCGGAGGAAGAGAATCAGAATATCTGGGACAGAAATTATGACTAGATTAAACATATACATATTAATGCGCTAAGTACAAAACTACTTTGCTCAGCATTACTTGCTAACAAGTGTGCATACCACAAAATATTCAAGACCTACCTTGGTGATGAATGGCGTTATGAAGACAAAAAATACGTCATATAAAAGAAGGAGGCCTAGAAGTATCACACATGACTGGCAAACAAAGAAGGAAATATTAAACCAAAACTTTCAAAGAGTATCTAAATTAGATTATATTACCATTACTACATCAACATTTAAAAAAATAATGCTCCAAAATGACCTTTAGCATGGAGTCATAAAGAGAGTACTGAACATAATCTTTTTATTTCCTATTCTATTTATATAGAAAAAGCTCTCTCCCCTTGTCAGTTTTTAATATTTCTAAACAACAAGAATTATTTTCTTGAGGTATTACACATTTACATCTTGTCACTTAACACTTCTACATGCAGGTCATCAATAGGTTTTATTTTAGTAAACAACTTACTATACCTTAAAGTTAGGCATTTTCAGTGTTTTAATGAAGTTTAGGCAGAAAGCAACTCCCAAGATATCTTGCAAAATCCAAGCCCACCTAAAAATAAGAGGTAAGCTTTACACATTTTGTTTTTCCATATTTTTATAATGCTCAAAGTTTGTTGTCCTGCTGGAAAAAAAAAAAGAGTACCCACTATTCTTACCCTTACAGAAAGATACTGTATCTTTCACGGCAGTTTATTTTTATCCTGACTTGTGACTGATGCTCATAAAAGAAGTACTGTTAACCTCAAAACATCATTTCAGTTAGAAACGATTCATCTGCTACTATTACAAGTAATATTCAAGAGTAAAATTAAAGGTCAGTAGGAATCAGTTTCACTGTTTTCCAAGTATAAATAATTTCACACACGAGTGGGATGCTCTTGCCCCCTTGACTTCAATGGGAGTTTACAAGGCTGCAGTAATTTACCCATATACACAATGTTTTATGATTGAATCCTTAAGCTGAGTCTACACTATAATTTTTTGCCAATATGGCTACAGTGAGTTGGGAATGGGAAGATACATGATCCCTCCCTCAAAAAGCTGTGGCAGAGTGTGCCCAATGCAGATCCTACTAGCTAAAGCACAGTTTGCTGGGATAGCTTATCTCAGCCTCCCTGGCCAAAATAAGCAATCCGGCATAGGATTGAAGCTCTTGCTGCTACTGTACGCTGGCACACAGATATACCAGCAAAACATTCCTTGCTTTGATTTCCTATTTGTATGCATCTTTCATACAGGAAAAAGAGAGAAAATTGAATATCATTAAACCACAAAATCAGCACAACAAAATCAAGGACTGGAACACTAATTAAAAAAGCTTCAAAGCTGATTTTTAAAGTGTGACTAGATTTCAAATGGACTGGCCATCTAAGGGCACATGGCTGAAATCATTTTAAGTTGAGGGTGCCTGGTACCCTTCCAGAAGCCCTCAACACCCTGAAGGCTAATTTTCCACTTTGGGGACACATGTATAACACATTTCTTGACTGCTAATGACTGCGATCTCTTCTTGCACACCTCTTACTACAGGGGAGGGCAATTATTTTGGGTGGAGAGCCGCTTACCTAGTTTTGGCAGGCTGTCAAGGGCTGCATGGGTAGACCAGCCCCTTAAGAGGAGCCCCGCCCCCTGGTCACCATCTTGGGACCAATGTCCCAGGGCTAGCACTGGTGGGGCCCAAAGCAGGGCGCAGGCTGGCAGGGGTCTGTGGAGCCGGGCTGGGCTGCACCAGCAGGGAGAGAGGGGAGCTGGCCCAGCTTCACAGAGTCCCTGCCGGCTGGGACCCCACGCTTCTGCCACCCTGCTCTGGGCCCCGCTGGCACTGGTCCTGGGACATTTTCTCTGCACTTAGCACCAGCTTGTAACCTGCCCTGGAGCTCATGCACTGGGCAGCCCACAGGCGGTGGTGGCAAACAGTACCTGGCGTGGCAAGCAGTGGGGGGGGCCGCAGCTGCTGTTACCACATGCAGCCCCGACGGGCAAGCCTGGAGCCAGCGCAGGGCCCAAGCTGGCAGCAGGGTGGTGCTGAGCACGGGGGAAAAGCAGCCCCTACCCACCCCACGCTCCAGCCACTCACAGCCCACTTGGGGCTGCCTGTGCCTGCTCAGGACAGCACCGCGCGGCCTGCGAGTGGCTGCAGCAGGGAGCACCGGCCATGAGGCGGGCGAGGGTCTGCTTTACTCTGCGCTGGGAAGGAGCCGGGAAGGAGCCCAGGGAAAAGCTGAGCGCACGGGGGGGGGGAGGGAGGAGC